TCGATCTGGCTGACAAACACAGCAGTTTGTCTGGCAATGGAGATACACAAACATGGCATCTGCAGCTCGCCGTCCCCCCCGGAAGGCAATCAGGTCCTGTGCCTTGCAAGATCAAATACCAAATAAAAAGGAGTGTAATTAAGCAATTATCTGTGCTGTCAGATAGAACAGATGATGGTGAAAAAAACCCATGTTCTTAGGAACCCTGTGGAAATGATTGGGGAGGAGTATTTCTCATTTTACTGAAGGGAGGTTTGTCTTTTTTTGGGGTGTTTGCCATCATTTTAGCAACTGTTAATTATACTTCTATTCTCTTCAAGTTTAAATTGGAGTGCACCATTATAAATTCTAAAACTGAAATATTGTGTGGAGGCGGTTCTATTTTTCTATAAAAAATGCTTTTTATTTTTCTCAGTCAAGAGAAAGGTCCAAAAATATATATGATAATGCAGTGGTTCTCAACCTTTTCGGTGTCAAGGACCCCCAAATTGATCCACATCAGTCCGTAGACCCATATTTGATAAGATGTAGTCTCACGAATTCCCATCTGATAATAATTTAATGTTCCATAACTGCCTGTAAATGGGTAGATTAACAGTGAACAGAACAGTCCTTCTGATACATTCACTCGGCTAATTCCAGCTAATGAAATAATAGTGAAATTGACATATTCTCAATATTTCTGGGGACCCCCAAGAACCCCATCAAGCACCGCAGGTTGAGAACCACCACCGTAGAGGTTCTTAAAAAATATAAACATAATATTCCACCAACCTCCCCCTAATACTTTTTGTAGTCCCATGAGTTTTATTAAGTTTACGAAGTTGCATTCGCAAAGTAGCACATAACCCGATCCTAAAAATGAAATGCTTGAGCAATATTTGCACTTTTAATGTCTTGAACTCGGAGGCTGTCTTCTTTCTTGTGTGACTGATAAAGCAGGCACGTTCATTCTGCAGTATCAATCATTTGCAGCTTGTATTTAAATTCAATTAAAATGCACGTCTGTCCACAGTCCCAGGCAGTGTTTGTTTTCATTCTGTAGTAATTTCCTGTGCCAGGGTGCCTGGCTGTACTTGTTTCTTGGTCCATCTAACCAAAGGATGAATATAAACACACATTTTTACATCTTAAATAGAAACTGAAATGAGCCTGTACCGACTGAATTTCTGCGCTGAACTCTGATCCCTTTTTGTTGAAGAAGTAATCCTCACGAACGCGCTGCTGTTCATGCGAATGCAAAGTCTTTAGGCAGGCTCTAAATGACTCGAATCTGGCAATACTTCTCTGCGATTGAAGTCTAAATGAATGAATTTCAATTCACGCATATCTCTGGGAGACAAGAACAAACAGTTTGTGGTGATCACAAAGCTCTGCCCTTTGAGTAGACAAACTAAGTGAAAGAATGAAAAAGGTGTTTTATTCTCTCTTCTCGCCATTTCATCTTTAGGCTCACACAAACAAGTCAAGCCAGTCAACCATTACTCATTGCTATCAGAGTGCAGATAAACAGTAGCTCTGCTTTTCCTTAAATAAACTTTGAGAAGCTTTTGTTTTGCAGTAAATGTTTATGTGATTGATCGACTCTGGAATATATTAATTTGTTTTAAAGTCTCTAATCTTAACGGCAGCGACTGCAGACAATCGCAGGCACACTGGATAAATGATGAAAGTTACGTTTTTTTGGGTTGGTTTTATTCATTGCTTGGGGCTGAACTAAAATCACTTCAACACTGGAGAAATAACAACTCAGAGTGGCTGGCTATTACTGGTGGTTAGCAGAGCAGTTAAAACAATGTATCATACTTTTAAAACACAGGAGGAACCAAAAAAGGGAGACATGGAGCCAAACACGAATTAAAACAAAACAAAGAGAGTGCTGAGGGTGTTGTTAAAGAGTTTTAATCAAGCAATAATCCAAAAAAAGCTTAGAACAGGATCAGGTTAGGAACAGGTCAACGGTCACAACACTTCACAACAGATACAAACGCTTACAAGTATCCACTGCAAAGTTGAAGGCGTTACAAAACAGGGATCAGCATCGATCCGCTGCTGGTTCAAACAAAGTCTCCGACTGGGACAAAGACACGTGAACCTGAGGTGAGCGAACTGATGCGAGGGGGGCCGCCGACACCCCCTCTTCATCCAAGACACTGGGGTTAGAGTACAGTATCACACGGTTTTGGTTTTGACTGTGAGCTGTTCTGCTAAAGCCTGATAATCACTCCTGCGCTGCATTATATGACTGATTCTGTCTGCCATTCAACAAATTAACATGACTGAAAAATAGTCTGTTCTTCATTACTATATTTCTGCTTGAATAGCTAATGTTCATGCAAACTTAATTTTCCCTCCAATTAACACATCATTATCCCTGTAATTTGAAATGATCAAAAACCTGTTAGCATTCAAATGCAGATTTTCCTGCAGTAGTTTCATGTCCTGAGACTGGAGTTAGGCGTTTTTTGGCGTCATCTCGCGACTTGTGAGCGCTTGTCTTACTATTTTCTCGAAGCCCAGACTCGGGCTTGGAGTGACAATTATGTAAATGAGTCAGACGAAGAACATAAAACGCACAAGGGATCAGTTTGGAAACGGCTCCACACCTGCCGAATATTAAACCAACATGCATATTCAAGATCCAACAGAGAACATGGACACAATGTTTCCACACTAATAGCCAAGGAGTCAATGTATGCATTAAGAACGTCTGTGGAGAATATGTGCACACAGACAGGCAGAGTAGATTAAGAAAATGAAGCAAAAAAATATCTTCATGATGAATTCTGGAAATATAAGTGTTGGCAGCAGAAGGTTAGTGCAGGTTCATTTTTTTGCTATAGGCAACGGAGGTGGGGCAAACCTGTCTGTCATTCACTTGAGCCGTGAACACTTATCATTTGAAGGCAAACCCTCGGTGAATACATAAATATATATTTCTACAACTTTGTTTTAGTAAACTTGTCATCAATACGGAGAGCAATTTACAACTTTATGACATAAAAAGAAGAAAAAAAGAAAATACTGCAGGAACCTGGTCGCTAGCCTCATGTTGAATGAAAGTCTCACAATTTGTTCTGTTGACATTTTTCCCTGAACAGTTCAACATTTTACAAAGGCAAAACAATATCAGATCAGCAGGCTAAAGCAAATTGTAGCATACAGTATATAGAAAATCTTTTTTTTTTTTAATCCTGAATCATACACTGAACACCTTCTCATAGCTGACCTAAGGCGCAGGGGAAATGCATGTTTTCATGCTGTTGAGTGATTTCTTTGCAATTACCTTGCCAAAGCACTCTGATTGGTGCTCTGCAGGGTTAGCTGGGCAGAAATAAAAAGCTTATTATCAGAGGATTTCTTTTTTTCTCCACAGGATTTAATTGCTGCACCACAGCTCTCTATTTAAACCAATACCAGTAATGTCCACTGTTAGAGAGCAGTCGAAATTAGCAGTTATGACTCACGATGGAACATATAGAGCAACAGTTCCATTTCCTCTAAAGCACTTACAAGAGGCTTTGGGATTTAGCTTCAGTAGTGTTGTCAGGATAACCAAATTTCAATGCATGTTCAATGATGCTGTGAATATTTACACCACATTTCCATTTCATCACCACCCCCAGAGGGCATCACTGAGTGCGTGGCCCGTGCACTGAGAGGGGCTGGAGCCAGCAGAGCAGCACTCTGGGTCTTAATAGCTGTGGCTGCAGTGCCAAGCAGCCCATCACGTCTGGAACTGGATCCCAGTCTGTCCAAACTGATGGACAAACTGGTGCCAGGAGTACAAATGGAGCTTCCATTTTTTTCCTCTGTGAAGTGGGCCTGATCCGTAAGGTTTTCATACTTATGTAATGGTCAAAACGATGGTATCTTGACAACACTAGAGTACACAGTAATTAAAAGCAATGCAGACTTTAATGCCTCGTAATCACTTGCCTGCTAGATAAGATAAGCCTGTTCTTACTTTACAGAATGCAGACTCTTGTATATATTCCCAAACAGGGGGAGATAATATGCTCCTACTCTAATAGATGCCATTATATGTTAATATACATCTTACATCTCTTTGATCATTTATAGCATAATGTGATCATTCGATTTGAAAGTGACTTAGCAGACTGCTGTACCGTGCAAACAGTAGTGAAGTACCTCCCTGGGGCTGACTTATCACAGATGTTTAAAAATGAGTCCAGAGACAGAGCAATCAAAGAGACTAACTGTCTCCAAATGAAGCCGTGTGAACTCTCTGCAGAGCACCTAGTGCCTCTACAAAATCCAAAACCATGTACTAGTATTACATCTCAATGATACAGGCATGAATTGGCCCCATCTCTCACATCATCATCATCATCATCATCATCATCATCATCATCATTAAGGGAAGTACCTGAACTGACACACGGCTGTTCTTAACTCCAGTTCTAATAAACACACAGCATAAGGGCGGCAACAAGTGAACAAATTCACCAAATCACATGTACAACAGATATATTAAATCTAACCGAAGAGAGAAATGCTACTTATGTCAGTACCATTCAAATAAAAGAAAAACAGAGGAAAGAAATGTATCCATAAATGATTCAAACTCACAGCCTCTTTGTAATAAAAGATTTAAAGTAAAACAAATCCCACCCAAAGTCATAATCCAGTGACGATTCGTAACCTATTATCCAGTTATTGTGAATCAAAGGACAATGTCAGACTTCGGTTCACCATAAAAACAACAGTAAAACCAACACAAATCTATATGACAAATATGTTAAAGAATCAGAAGTAAAAAGTGGTTCTGGGAGTGAATCAGCAGAATGAACTGAGATACATGAAGAGGGTCGAGTTGTCACCTCGACACTCTCCGCTTCCTCACCTTGCTCTTCCTCTTCTTGTCCCCTCCAAAGAACTTTCCAATCTGATCCAGGAGGCCGGGGTTCTTCTTCCTCCGGCCCAGCCCGAAGGCGGCCTGTGCAGAGCTGCTTGCAGATGCCATGGTTGTAGTAGTAGTGGTTGGTAGTATATTTGTCAAAAGTGGGGTTCTTGTAGCTCTCTTAAATGAGAGACCGAAAGACAGAGGAGGGAAAAAAGAGAAGAGGGAGGGAGGAAAAAAAAAAAGCTAGCCTATTCTAGGTCCTGTTCGGGGCTGTCCGACCCGCACTCTGAAGCTCCGCTGTGCTCCTGGATGGTCTGCAGCTCGTCCGATTCGGAGGGTCGGTCTTTGAAGGTGTTGTCCTCTCGGCCCGGGGCATCTCGGGAGAAGAGGCGGACCAGGTGGGGGCGTGGTGTGGCGGCGTCAGGGTCAGCTGTGCTGGCGGCGGGCCAGAGCTGGTGGGGGCCCTCAGCGCCTGTGGAGTCAGTCACCGCCGGCTTCTCCGAGACGCAGCCATTGTTCTGGTTCGCATCTGCCTCACCCAGGCCTGCGCAGAAACAACAAGGGTCATCTATGGGCTTGGGCCTGCATGGCACACAACAAACCACAGCAGCACAATGGCCCCTTTTGACGAGACAGTGCCCTTCCTGCTGCGGCGGACACCAGCAGAGCTAACATTTCACATTTGAACTCGAACAAACCTTACCTGCTGAACGGGAAAAGATAGAAATGTGGGATTAAAGACACGGGCAACTGCTAACTAAATCCCTAAGTACTGTTTTGTCTCTAAGGCTGCTATTTTTTCTCTGAGGTCAGTGCCACCATCTGTTCCGTTCTGAAGTGCAGACTTTTGAGTCAAAATATTCTTGTAGCAGGTGTGCTCACAATTCCCAGCCTAATTTAACTGGAGCACAGAGCATTAGAGTGCTTGCGCAAAACCTTTGATTTATCACAGTAATGCAATTAACCGTGAGCTCACACCAGAGACGTTGAAAATGACATTGAAATAAACAGAAATCTGCCCCACATTTTAAGGCTGCACCACCTTTGCAACAGAGTCAAACCCTTGTGCAACCGTGTAAAACTGACGCATGTGCATCAGTGCACTCGTTCCAGTGAGATGGGAGATACGGCTGTGTCTCCAGCATCCACATTGACAGCTATCCATTAAGTTACCCAGCTCCCACAGCAGAGGACATCCAGTGCATTCCTGCCTCCGAAACAATATGCACACTGTACTGGCAGAAATGGTGTAGCACTACACCAGAGAATCTGCATGCTAATATTGGCTGAAACAGTGGCCTGTTGTCAGAGCTGCATAGTTATTACAGAGAAACAAAGAGCCCAGTGTCACTAAAATAACTCCTATAAGTATGGATTTTCAACCCAATGCACGGTGACACTTATCTGATTCGGGGCCCGAGAGCTACGAGGCGGCTGTCTCTGGGCGCGGAGCAGATGCTAGTTCTCTGCTCTATGCTATGTAGACGTTTACACTATGAATTGTCGAGATTTTAGATGCCAATTACCCCTAATACAATACAGCTGGAGCAGCAATCAGCATCATTTGATCCAATGAGTTCTTTAGCTTGATTTCCTTCTGGCGGATTTGCAAGTAACGTATCGAATGTGAATGTAGATGCAAGAGTCGATGCGAATATGACTCGGTTCGTACAGAATGAGGGGCCAATATTATCGTAGGCGTTTGTCGCCCACCAGATGGATAACTGCAGAAGATTTAAATGTATCTGCATTGTCAGCGATTAAAACTGTTGTTTTGAGGAGACAGATATACATGGTCATTTAATATCATTAATCAGTTGCTTCACTATAAAATGCGAGCTCTTATTTCCCCTCATCGGTGCAGCTTTCCAACTAAGGCCTAGTAGGTCAGGATGCCAAAAATCCTCTTTAAAAAGCACATGAAGCCTGTCTTTTTAAACACTCTGTAATAAGACATAGCTGAAGTCTTTAATAAAAATTATCTAATAATACTATTCTCCTGCTACAGGAGTGATTTCTTAAACACATCTATATTACTACTGAGGCGGCTGCCACACACGGCACTGCCATAAAAAGTACTTAGTGAAACTTGTCTCACTCAGTCTGTCTCATTTCCTCATAATGTCATTCTTGTCAAGGTGAACAAGCCTTTTAGAGCCCATTCTGAGACACTAAAAGTCCTCGCTGTAAACTAATGAAATTCTTGCAGGGTTACTAGCTGCTTTATGGCAGATGACACATCCCATTCAAAGACTTTCTAAAAAGCATAACTCTAATGTAAAGTGAACGAATACAATGGGCAAAAAGAAGATGTCAAGTAAGGTCTTGATCAAAGAGGGAGAAAATAAGATTGAAGCCAGTCTATTTCATATCCTGATAGCAAAAATGAAACAATAAGAAAAAGTTGGTGCAGTCAATGTGTTGCTTTCTGAGCTATTTTGCACTGCATTAAACATATATGCAACCTGAGATAATGATCCATGCAATTACTGCTGCAAGCAAAGGTCTGCAAGCTCTCCCCTGAGTTCTTCAAATGCGTGGCTTCTAAGCTGCGTACCGTGGTATCTCCATATTACTTTCTCTTTTGCAGAGTTTGTGAAAACTGTCAGCAGGTTGCAGGGGTTTTTTTTCCTCTCACTTCATTGGCCTGAAAACTTTTTACTGTATTTTAAACAAAGTATAAAAAAAAAACAAAACCAACAAACGTATTGTTGTGTTTTAAAGTTTCTCCGGGGAGTTTGTTAGCACACAGCATGACCTGCCAGTCACTGGAGGAAAAGCTGGCTCGTGATCTCGGCAGCCATCACTGAGGCTCATTAGAGAGTCACTCTGCATGTTCAATGTGTTTTATGGATCTGTGACAGTTCTAGAGGGACTGCAGCAGAATAAGCAAATCAATCCCGCTCATTTGTTCAAGTTGTGAGCGTGTATGAGGAGCGATATCCTCACCCCACAGCAACACAGCCTGGTAGAATTACACCAGTGTGTTCTAACCGATTCAAAATCTGCTTATGGTAAAGAATGTGAAATCTGACTCACCGGTCTTTGTTAGCAACAGTAAATATATTATATTGCAATCTCTCTCAGGAGAACCACAGAGAGTAGAATAAATAAGAAAGCTGCTGTTTTCCTGCCCCTCATTGCCCGAGTCCTCTCAAATCATTTCCATCATTCATCACCTGTTGAGCCCGGCAGCGCTACCATCCGCCGCTAGAATACCAATAAAATACAAATGACAGAGGAAACCATCCTGACATGGCTGAACTTTAACACTCCTCCACAGTCCATAATAGTGCAGGGTGATACAGAATGCATGTGCACAGTGGAAAAGGTTACGTGCTGATGAGAACCTTATTAATCAGTTTACTCCCTGCCTGCTGTTATTAAATGTGCATTAAGTCCGGGTTTTAGCATCCCAATGCACAAACTGACCGTAATACAAGCGTGGTGGATTGATGGGATTGTTGATCCATGTAGATGACTCAGTGATTAGTGAGTCAGGTGCTGACATTTCTGCCTAATCAGAACTCACTCTGTGGCCTATACTCTTATGCGGAAAAACAAAATTCCTCACCCACACATTTTCAGTAGCCTAACGAGGAAGGCTGGTGGAAGTCACTCGCACTGAATTGTTTTCAAGCCCCAAACTCAAATGACACGGTAGTGTTATTATAATTGTTCTGGGATTTATCATTGTGTTATTTACTTTTCAGTGATTTTATTGGATCTCTGCTTAGATTAGATAGTTTACTCATCTGTATAGCTGAGATAAGACTGTTGTCCATTATCACCCACTGTGAACGGTATCAGACCGTGATCAGTGTTGGTGATATTCTCTGGGTGCCAACTGAGGTCCATTAAATAATACACTATGTAATGATCCTTTAATTGCTGCTTGTGATTGTCATCAACCGTTTTCTGTTTGCAAATCTCCATTATGAAAATATATTGCTTTTAAACTGAATAAAACAGCGTGGTGTCTGTAAAAAAAACATAAAAAGGAGCCAAACGTGTCTTTGTGAAAGATTATGACGTTTGAGCAAAATAAGACAGAAAACAAGTGGACTGCTTTTTCTAGTAAGTACGTTTCCAGTCCTCAGTCCCTCACATGTATATGAATGTTTCATGCGTATGTTTTATGGGGAGAGGCAGGAAATTGGGACAGTATCCTGGTATATGACTTCTTGCGAGCCCATGGAACCGCAATTAATGTAATACGACAAGCCCAGCATGTTGGATAACGAAGCTGGGAGGACAAGATGTTCTTGCTGGTTTGTTTGTTGGAGTTATTTTTGCTTTATGGATATCCACATGCCCTCACAGAGCTGCTTTTTTCTAATACGTATATACTAATGTATGATGTATTCACTCAAAATCCCTGCTACTGCTACAAACATTTCTTCTGTATAGCCTGCACTATTAGGTTCAGCTCCTGACCAAGCTGACAAAACTGAGCTCAGGTCTTTGAAGCCACCGAGTTTTAGCGGCGGGTCGCTGACAGCTGCGTTACTGCCTGCCCTCCTCAGTGTGCTGACTTTTTAAAGCCGGCTGAGGCTCAATGTCTGAATTACAGTCAGTCAATCACATACTGACTCAATCTTCCCTTCATTTTAATAACAACTGCCACCAGGCAGGGAATCAATCAGCACCTAACAGAGCTTAATAATATCCTCTGCACACCTAACCAATTTTTCATTAATTGCAATTGTTGTGCTGCTCAGCCTGACAACTCAGAGTAATCCTGTAGTGATTGTTTTAAGTGTGATTTGAAGTCATTGGACAGCTGTAAACTCTCAATGTCACTGTGGCAGCTTGCGAGTGTCAGTCTTTTTTTTCACTGGAAAACATTTAAGAATATTTAAAAGAGAAGGGAATAAGCTTTTCATGTCATACTTTTTTCACTGCATGTTTCTTTCCCCTGTTTTTTTTTTTTTTTGGGGGGGGGGGGGTATAAGGCCAAATATGATGCTGCATGTTTCTTTTCCCTGTTTTAGGCCTTCACGACATTAGAAAAGAAGCACAACTTGTAAACAACACTAAGGGCCAATTATCCAGCAGTCTGACGGATAACACTGCAGAGAGAAACAGGGGTCTGCAGAGAGCGTGTTGCCTTCACTTGGTTGGCCTCCTTCATCAAATACCGGATTTATTCATGTGTTGAAAATGACATGTTTCTCAGGCATGCCCATCACTGGTTTAGCAGATGGGTTCTTAAGCCACCAGAGGAGAAGACAGTAGGTCAGAATCTGCTGCCAAATATCGCTGTGTGCGCCTGCCTTTACTACCGCCAAGAGATACTGGCCTCATTCAAAATATGTTTTTAGCTTCTCATCATGTAGCCAAGACATTATCGCAGTCTAAGGGTGACCACATAATAGCCTGGTACCTCATCTTGATTAATTCACCATGACAACTCCACAATGTCCCTATGACAACTAAGGCGCCAAGATGGCCTGATAATTCTAGTGAAATTATAGGGGACAATTGATGTAATCTGCTGCCTTGGAGTCTCAGATTATTGTGCCCAGAACAATTACCATCACC